AATTCCCCAGCCAGCAAGGGAATTCTGGGAGTTGAAGTCCCCCCATCTGAAAGCTGCCAAGGTTGAGAAACCCTGAGCTGCAGGAATACCTACAGCCTCTGATTTCTTGACATCTAGATTCCAACAGCCAACATTTCCTTTTACCTGAAACAGGAGAGAGGTCCTTAGCTGAGGGCACACTCTCTGCCTTTCTTCCTCTTTCCTTCTTCCACAGATGGTGAAGAAACTGGAACAACAGAAGCGGAGCCGTCTGCGAGAACTTGAGGAGGAGAAAAGACAGTTTTGCCTGCGTATGATCAAGAAATTAGCACCCATGGCCACGGAAAGAGATTCCAGGAGAACGCTGTTCAGTATTCAGCCTTCTCCTCTGCATTCAAGTAAGAGCAGCTGGAGGAATCTCGACCCCAGGCTGAGTGCCAGACCAGACACCACCTTCTTCACCACTGCTGGCCGGATGTTTCCTGCATCTTGTACTCCAAAACTTGCCCAAGTAAGTTTTGCCCTACCACTGGAGCTTTAAAAGGTTACTGTTTAAAAGAACTAACGCTGAGTTCACGCACTGCACTTAGCCATAACCTTGCTTGTTGGTTCGGTACTGAGTTGGGTTTGGTGACACCACCCACTGTGGTTTGTAAACCAAGCTTTACAACTCAGTGTGCTGTGTAGTATATTCAGAAGGTTTCAAAACCATGAAACAGTGGTAAAGAGATCTGGGTTCATACAGCGCAGAAAGTAGAAAGTGCATACTCAACAAGCTATATTATGATGTGGGAAGTCATGAAATCCTACGCATGTTTACTCTGAAGACAGAATGAGGTCAATGTAACGTACTCCCAAATAGTTACATGGAGATTGCCATCTAAGTCATTCGAAAAGCATCTAATCTAGTCATCTAAAAGCATTTAATCAAAGAGGTTTCTAACATGCTCGACTATATTCAACAACAGGCTTAAGCAGGTCTGTTAAAAAACCTGCAGCTCCATTTACACACCTTGCAAACTTAGTTATTTTTTAAGCTTGGTGACTTTGGGGTGGGGGGGGATGTGTAGCACATTTGAACACAACCCATTCAATGGACTGTGCAATCCAGAAAATGGGGTGAACTCAGGAATCAGGTCATGTATGTTGTGCAAACTGTGTTCTTCTTAACCGGCAGACCCCCAGCTCTTATTCCCCAGACATTCTACCGACCAACAGGTACAAATCTCTGCAAGGCAAGAATTTGCAGTCAAGAACCAAGAACCAGCCCACAGCTCCTGGGTCACGCGAGGCTGCCCAGAAAGGAATGAACATTTGCAATTGAAAACTAAACCCCATGTGCTCAGCCTCGAGCGCAACACATCTTGCAAGGCCAGCTGAAAGCTGAGTTAGCAATATATATAATTCTGTTAGCAACACGCAAAGACAAGAGATCAGGTCAAAAGAGGGCAAATCAAGATCCTCCTACTCAACAGAAGAATACAAGTGGGTCACGGGCTATTCGCCTAATATCTACCACGGAATTGGTTGCAAGCAAGAAAGGAGGATTTTGTAACTAGGAAACTGGTTGAATGGTTTCCCTTTTCAGATCGTTAATGAATTAAATGATCTGCAAGGCACAGCAGCTAGTCTTGACCAGGGCTGGTTTTTCACGGGGTATCCTTCTTGGACCAATTTTCCAGTTCCAAGCTCAAGTCCAAGTATTTCTTATTACTATGATGACTAAAGATACTTGAAATCGAGGACTTGGGCACACTGAAAAAAATTGAGAAATGGAAAGGCAGTTTGATCTACATGTAACAAAGAAATTAATCCTGAGAGCAATGGTCAGTAATGGGCCACCCCTTGTCCCCCAAAGACTCCCAAAGTCCTCTTCAGAGCTAGTCCTTTTCACACTCAAACTGGAATAACTTGACTAATTTCTGAAGCTGCTTTGTCATTTGTATACCAACCACTGGTCTTGCTCTTCCTTTTATAATGACTAAAAAGGATGAATTGAATTAACTAATTACGAAACCGACTAGTACAATTCAGCCTCTTTTTCCTGGCATTTATTGGATGTTAATGAATTTTATGAACTTAACGTATGATCTGCGGTTGAGTTAGATTTCATAAAGAATAGAGCACTGAAAGTTTTTCTCTCTTCTTAGGAACATTTATTAAGGAGCAATGGAAAAGACTGTTAAACAATCACAGCATTCAACTAGCCAACAGTAAAATGTTTTGTATAAAATAGGTATCTCAATAAATTAAACAAATTAAATTATTTCTAGGAAGTAAGGGACCCCCAAATAAGAGAAAAAGTCTTTATATTTTGGTTCAAAAAAGGGTCACAATATTTAAAGGATGGAATGAATGGCGTTTTGGCTGTGCTGATGTTCATGCTAAAGAGATATGCCAATGGAGAGACAGAATAAAACGCATGTTAAAGTTGCTTGTGTGTAAACCAAGATGGAAGATGAACTCTTGCTTCTTCTCAAAATCAAGCAACCTGTTTTGAGCAGATTTGCCTACATGGAAGGCATTATTACTGAGATCTTCACTATCCCTAAGAGAGAAGCCTGCAGGCTATTTTTACTACCACGATTATTAAGGAGTCTTGAGAATCCCATTGGAATAAATTGTGTTGCTTTGGGTTAACATAAATCTAGCCAAAAACAAGAAACTGAGATACTCTTAAAACAGATGCAGTTACTGCCGTCAAGAAGGGGAAATGGACATCTTTTAGACCTGCTATTAACCATATTGAAAAATGTAGCTTACAGCAATTCTGACCCTAACGCGTCTCTAAATCAGACCATTTCTGTGAATCCAAGAGAGCTTCTGCAGGACCAGCCCAGGAGCCCTGAAATTTCAGTCCGTTAAGATTTTTACTTAAATAAAAGGGGCTTTGTTTGGAATTAAGGTGTCAAGATTTGATTTCTCTATGTATGATACATGAGCTGAACTTTACATACCATCTTTGCTTTATTTCCTCCTCTTCTGATTTCAGGCGTTGGTTCGAGCCAGTGGCAGATGAAACACCCTGATTTTATAACCCTTTAGAACCGTGTTCTAGACAATTTATGCACTGGTTTGAAATAATTAGCCCTTTGTTGTTCATTCCAATATACATTTTGGTTTCTGGCACCCCACTTTTGTAGCTTTATAGTTACAATCTGGGATACAGGATTCCATGCACGAAACAACAGCAATGGATGATGTAGCTACATAGCTACTTTCAGTTTCTTTTTCTTAGATTTCATGACAGCTGGCAGCGAAATCTTGAAAGCAGTCCTGGAATGAATTTGAACAGTCAGAAAAAGTGGCTCTCAACCAGGGCTTGATGTATTCTGTCTGCTCCAACAAGCAATAAAAGTTCAGCATTTAGGAGTTGCTAAGGTAACACTACAACCATTGACCCAACTAAGCCACATTAGCACGTATTTGTATATTTCTCCATATACAAAACTTACAAATGCGCATACCAAATTTCAAACCTGCAGGGAGCTGCTAGAATTTTGGGCAAAGATTTAGTAGGTGGTGGATACTGCAAGAAGGGAAGGGAAGGGAAGAGCTAGACCAGTGTTTCTCAAACTTGGCCACTTTAAGACATGTGGATTTCAACTCCCAGAATTCCCCAGCCAGCTGGCTGAGGAATTCTGGGAGT